CTTAAGCTACAAAATACCTGTCCAATATTTGATTGCGGCGTCGGCGCAATTTTCTCCTCGTTTGGGACAACGGTGATCTGCTCTTCTGTGAAAATCCACGACCCGAGCGTTATTTTGCAGTGCTGAAAACTGAGGGTTCTTTAGCATACCCTCGCCTAGTGCAGCTAAAATTTACTGACCTGCTCGTCGTAAGGGAAATCCTGAAGTCGCAACGTGCAGGGGGACAGTAATCTAAAATCCGAAAACCTCGCTAAAACTTGGCGAAACTACCGTAGCCGGGACAGACACCCTCACCCAGCCGTCATATCGGATCATGACAAGACTATCTTTAGGAGTAAGGATTGGCTCGCTGTCGATTCTTAAATGAAATTCATACGAAAACTGAAGCATTTCTGTTACGTGCTGTAGTAGATGACGTCCGGAATCCAGAGCTGGTCTTCTGGGACCATCACGTATTCTGAATCATAGTCTGGGAAGAGACGACGGTCCCAGCCGAGGGTTGGATCAAACCACATCTAAAAAAGTATTAGGCTTATGCATCATCTGAGGCTTCACTTTAGGCTTAGGCTTTGCTCAGGCTTTGGCTTTGGCTAAGGTTGGCGCAGTTAACTTTTAATACCGTGACTTACCATCAAAAACTCATTCTGGTACTGGATCGTTTCTTCCACTTCATCCTGTTGAAAAATATCCACTACCAAGGAGATCGCTTACCATATCCAGCAACCGAAATGAATTCAAAGTTATGTTGATCAGCAACAACTCGTCGCCATCCATCGGCGGTACATCCTTGTCATAAAACGATCCATTGATCATGTATGCGACGATTTGCTGCTCGATCGGCATTGCAGAAACAGAAAGATCGTCTGAAAGCTTGATGGATTTTTTTGTTAAATTTTCAAGGTTGTAATAATTTGTAGACGCTCAAATATACCTTGTTTCCATAAAAATAGCGACAATAAAAATAAACGCAACTTTCGACAACCCATCGATAAAATTTCGCGCCCAAAAGGGCCTTTCTGGTTTGGCCGCTTGTATTTGTACTTCTCCAGACATGATGATAGCATCGAAACACATTTCCGCGCCATCCACCCCCTTTTCGTAACTCTCCTTCACTTTGACGTTGTCTTGTCGACACAGCGAGCCCACGCGACAATTTGGAATTTTTGATTAGCTCCAAAGGTAATTGGATGCCTGGGAGGGCTTGCGGAGTTTGGCGCTAAACTCTGGCTCACTTTGTGTGGTGAATCATTTTTCTAGGCTTGACTTGTTTAGGTTTAGGCATAGGCTTAAGCTTAGGCTTACTATTAGCCAAGACTGGCGGGGCGTTCCGTGCCAGGGTACCCGATTATAATGCCGTGGGTAAATAAGTGGGTCAGCTTTCTGGCCGCGCGAATGCAATTTACACCTTGCAAATCAGATACGGATTGTTTAAGTCGGAAAGTCAGTACCTAACCAGAAAATGAAACTGACCTACCGTAACCCGTTGGCACACCATCCTTATTTCACCGAAATACTCGCCGTCATTGTTATAGCTACGGCGAAATTTGGTAATATTTGGTGCTGCGGGCTTCGATAATTGATTTTTGTGAATTCCCGCGTTCCAGGAATTTATTTGGGATTATTCTGGGCAGCAAATTTTACAAGGGTGCTTCCGTCGAATCCGTGGGGCGACGTGCACATCACGTACACAACGCCCGAGGACGAAATGGCCCTTAAAATCTCCATGGCGCACCCATTGTTGGTTGTAGGTTTTAGCGGGCGGAAATGGTTGTAAATTTGCCCACGATTTTGGAAGGTTTTGAGAGACATCGAAGTCTTGGCAGGATCTTTGATGGGGATTTTTCAGTGTAAAATCATCGCTTGGTTTGCCAACATTTGGGCAGCGGTCATCATCTTCCGGATACCGGGATTGGTGTTACCCGTTCGGTAGGTGATTGATTATCATTATTTTTTCGATAACACTTGGGCCGGGGCACGAGTCAAAAAAGCGGCTTTCCGGACTAGAGAAACTCAAAAAAAAATTTTTGCTAGGCTACTATGGCTGAACGAATTCGCGGCCTCGATGGTACGGGCAGGAGTGGACCTGGCGATAACTGTCCCGGTCTACATTGGGCTGTTTTAGTAAGTCCAAATCAGGGAGAGAGAGTGAGAGAGATAGAGAGAAAAAAGTGAGAGAGAGAGCGAGAGAGAGAGCGCGATTTTCCAGTGCCGATTATCATCTATCCAACCTTTAGCCCTCCCTTTCAAGAATGGGCAGACAATAGCGAGGGGTTTTTTACATTTGCGGTCAATATCGTGATAATCGCCCGCTACGTGGCGTATCTGGAATTTGTGATCTACTTTCAGCACGACTGGATGATTTTTTGGCAAGCATTTTAATTTTTAATTTGAAGAAGTGACGGTCAAAAGGCAGAGTCCTTTCCTATTTCAACCGCAACGTTCAGGCCCCCATAAATAACAATGGTTTCTAACTACGCGTCGTAAACGTGCGCTTTAAAACGCCAAAAAAAAGCTTTTGTAGAATTTCAGCCGATTCCTGGCTCTCTCGTTCGACGGCATCTACTTCAATTACACCCTCAAATGGCCGTGGGCTCAATTTATAATACCCTTTATCGTCGTCTACGGCATGAAGCTATCATCCCCTTATGTCGACCAAGGGATTCCGATATTTATCGAGATGATTTTGATGCGTTACGTCGTCCTCAACTTTGTGGCGGCATTTGAGATTTTGGTCGTCTACAAATTCCATAAGGTTTCCAGAACCTCGTCATGCCAACAATTTTTAGCGCAAAAGCTCAAACAACGGTAAGAGTGAGGCGGTGTTGATCTTTACGGTAAGTCAAAGTACCGTAATACCTATCTATCGTTTCCAAGCTCTTCCTCACGACGTTTGACCACCTGTTTACTAACGAGCTATCAATGTTATATATGTTTTGCACGCGACAATTGCTCGGTGCTTCAATGATGAACGCCTCGCTGCAGGTCATCCTTGTGTTCTTGCAGCAACTGAAACATTTTGGATCTGCGTGGGGCTCTGAAGCGTTAGATTTGTAGTTTATCCTAGACTCGTCATTGTCTTCCTCATGCGGTCGAAACGAGAAGAAAAATCAACGATGAACAATAGCAAAAAGACTCGGCTAACTACAGTCGCAGTATCCCAGGCTCGGCCTGTCAAAAGCGGTCTAACCGCGGTGAGCTAACCAGTTGGAGAAATAAACGCTATGCAATAACGAGAGCACAGCACAAGCGTCTCTTGATCATCAATGCATAACAAAAAGAGAGCGTCTTTCCAAATTTCTTCCAAGATGATTTTTAGGAAACAGTTTTTGAGAGATACGTGTGAAGATGCATTTGAAAAAGCGAAATATGAGGCATGTACCAACCGTCAACTTTGTGACGCATCTTTCTTGAAAAACGCGCCGACCCGAAGTGCCGTCATTTCCGTGATATTTGGCCTTATGGATGGGCGGAAGCGGGCCTTTTTTTTGAAAGAAGGAAAGGTCCTGCCACATAAAAGTCACAAGAACGCGCTCACAGCCGTGAAAGAACGATAAAATCAAATTTCCTTGAAGTTCATCCTGATAATCCAATGTAAAAAGATGATAAATATTGATTGATTTAAAATATTGTCTAAAAAATTTTATTGAGTTTAAAGCGCCGATTATGCATCTAAAAATGTAACATAAAAAGTTCCCTGTAGATGTTTGCACCCTTTGGCGACTCCGTGACCTTTAAAAGTCACATCACCCGTACCCCAGAAAATCCTGAAAATACAGGAAAGATTGCGCGCTAAATGATTTTGAGTCGCCCTTCCGGGCTGTGCGCAACCTTTACGCCCGCTCAAACCCAATTCCAGCGTGAAAATAAATAAAGATTGTTCAAGTGGACAATTCAGTATACAACTGAAAAATGAAGCTGCCCTGCCGTAGCCCGCTGGCCCAGCATCCGTATTTAAGCGAGATTCTCGCCGTTATTGTGTTAGCGGCGGCAAAATTCGGTAATATTTAAGATTCTCTAATGACTTCTACGAATCAATTAGCGTGCATTATATCATTCTAGGAATCTATTTCGGGTTATACTGGATCGCCAATGCCGTTACTTCTGTGACGCCGGGAAACCCGTGGAAAGGCCTACCAGTTGTCGACCCGACTGTCGATGATGAAATGATCGCTCAGCTACTCTGGCTGCAGTACCCGACGTTGGCAGTGAGTTTTAGGGGCCAGATTATTACGGATTTTACACCATGAAGGGGCACTAAAGGTAGGCGCCTTCATCCATGACGTGTTGAAGCGTCGCGCGCGGAGCTTCGCGGCAGATAGAGAAAGGGCGTCCCCTAGGAGAGACGCTGACAGAAGTGTTTGCATCTCTGCGAGGCATAATGTCTTTTGGCAGTGCTGCCAGAGCCCCTTTAAACGGTGATTGGCTTGTTTTCAGCTCGAAATAATTGGATTGTTGGCGAACATCTGGGCGGCGCTGATCATCATTCGGATACAGGGATTGGTGCTGCCTGTTCGGTATGTCGTTCTCATTCTCTGTATCATTTGGATAGTTATAACCTTGTCGATATTCATTTTGCCGATTTTTCGGCGTTCATGACTTTCCTTACTTTTCCTGGCCATCTTTGAGTCGTGAAAAAAAATTCTGCATATAAAACTGCTGGTAACAAAATGTTTCACTAGGCTTCTATGGCTGAACGAATTCTTGGCAGCCGTTGCGGAAATATCCGTAAAACTCATTGTCACTCTACCGGTCTACTTGGCGCCACTTTGGTTGGTCCTAAATCTTTATTAATCTCTAATAGCAAAATCGTCTAAGTCTCATAACGAATTCGCTCGTATGCCACCCGAAAAACCGAAGGATTTCACAAAATGGCTTGTAAAACGTCGGAATTACATAAAAACATGTTTTTGAAAATTGTTGCAAACTCGCCGCTTCAGGGCTTTCGCATGGTACAACTACCATTTCGATCCGATACTCTACGTTGAGTTAGAGGGGTTTTTTATTGGGACACCCCGTCGACAGCGTGTCTCAAAAACAGCGGGAAAGGCCTCTGAAAAACTATTTGCCTTTGCTACTCCGCTTCGCAATCTTTTTGATTGGCCAACCAGTTCTTTAGCCCACCCTGCGATGAATGGCTATGGAACATCGACGGAATTTGGAACATCTATATGGACGTGATGAATTATACCTACTACGTGTCGTACCTCCAGTATGTCATATATTTCCAGCACGACTGGATGATCTTTTGGTAAGTACCAATCAATAGTATCAATTCGTGTATGATGGGTCAAAGCAGTGCACAATTTAATTGTAGCAGATTCCTGGCGCTTTCCTTTGACGGCATATACTTCAACTATACCCTGAAATGGCCGTGGGCGCAAATGCTAGCCCCCTATGTCGTGGTCTACGGAATGAGAATTGTGTCCCCTTATCTCGATCCGACGATTCCGGCAACTGTCGAGTTGATATTTTCTGGCTTCGTAGTTTTGAACTTTGTTGCGGCCTGGAGGTACTCGTCGTCTACAAATTTAACAAGGTTTGGATCAACATACGTCACGCCTATTTTCATTTAATCATTCCACTATAGATGCTAATATAAAATCGTCACTCTCTAGGCTTACTAGACGTAAAAAAATCGTGAAAATGACTCCCTTTCGTAGAAATCGTATAAACGCTTATTGACGGTTACCGGCCATTAATGCGAGAATCAAATTTTTGAAAACGTTTTATCTCATCTCTATCTGATCTTTATCTTCATTACGTTATTTCGAGGGCTATCAGTTCCTTTTAGCGCAAGAGCTCAACCAACAGCAAGAGCGAGAAGGTGCTGATTTTTACGGTAATTGAAATAGGCTTGTCCAAGAACTTTGGCTTTCCAGCTCATCCTATCGACATTTTCGCATCTATTTATTAACGATGCAATGCTGATCTGTATGATATGCGTACGGCCCTTGCTTGGCCGCAACATGACCAACATTTCGCTACAGTTGCTTGGCGGGATTGTACAGGAATTGAAGACGTTTGGCGCACCGTAAGCTGACAAAACCGTGCGAGAACCATTTTGCACAGACTGGTCATCATCCTCTTTATGCGGCCAAAGCCAGAAGAAAAGTCGACGTTGAGTTCAACCATGGAGGGTAGTAAAAAGGCGAGGCTGACCGTGGCCACCGTAGCCCAGGTTAATCCATTGCAAAATGGTCCAACTACAGTGAGCTAATGAATTTGAGTAATAAACATTTTTGAAATGTTGGCTTAATGCACAATGGAACAAAAGAGCCAAAAAAACTAGAATGCGTCAAAAATTAAACGGTTTTTGCCTATGTTTTCAAGAAGCTCGGATTCTGATCTATTTTCTCGAAATATAGACGGTTGACTCATTTGCTTAGGGTTTTTCCTGCCTGAACGGCCGAGCAAACATTTGGCCGTCTAAATCCATTAGCGTACAACACCCACATCCCGGAATATTGCATTTAAAAATACGCATTACATCAACACCGCATCAGGCGCCCAAATGCAATCAGGTCAACTGACGCAAAGGACTTCGGGTGGCGATAATTCTTCCGTGCCGCTTGACCTTATTAAAACAGAAATAGACAGCCGGCGAAATCTTTGTAATTTGTAATTGTTTTAGAAAAGCTTTCTAATTTTTTAGAAATAGCTGCCTTACTTGCAAAAATAAATTGATTAACTCAGGCGAGTGAAGTCTTCAATTTAACATGTTACGAAAAAAGCGATTGCGCCATTCGACAGACCAAAAGTTTCTTCGTTGGAAGAAGGGGAAGTGGTTGAGTTAAGAAAAGATGGGTTTTGAACGTATTTCCTGACAGCCTTGTCTCTAAAACAATCTAGTGAGTTCTTAAAGGAGCACCGAAGTTGAGTCCACGCGGCTAAAGCGTTGATTTCTGGCAAAAAGCCAGATGCGGCCGCAACACGACGCGCCAAAAGGTTTTTCCTCACAGTTTCGGTGTGAAAACGCTTGAATTTGAAAATTCTGACGTGATTTCTGGGACCTTTAAGCGATTCCGAACAATTTAGCAGTTTTAATTTAAAAAATAATCCCGGGATCACCGAGTGCGCTGAATTCGGTGCTTGCCAGGGCATTACGACATGTAAAGCCAACCCACCGAAAAAGCGATTCAGCGCCCAAATCATTTCCCTTTTTCTCTCAAATATTTGTTAGGGTTGCTCCTCGCTATTTTTTTGTCGGGCTTTGCGCACACGAATTTAGAAGTTGTTGGTTCCTTTATAGTGCCCCACCCGCATCCTTAAAGTAAGAAATCCGAGAATTCACTCAGCGAAAAAAGTGGACACTAACCACTAGCTGATTGTCCGCCGTGAACGCGCGCAACCTTTGCTTCCGCTCGAATCCAATTTCATCGTGCAGAAATGGAAAGATTGTTGGGGTGGCGAGTCAGTACCTAGTCAAAGAATGAAACTTTCCTTCGGTAACCCTCGTGAACAACATCCGTATTTTATCGAAGCTTTCGTAGTCATCATTGTAGCCGTGGGAAAATTTGGTAAATTATAGGTCAACTGGAACATAGTAGGCTTCGGCTCCGCCCTGCGCTTGAGCCTATTTTAATGCTTTCAGGAATATACTTGGCGTTATACTGGGGTGCCAGTACCGTCACACAGGTTCTCCCGTCGAATCCATGGGGCGAGCCGCGGATCGTGAACATGACCAATGCCGAGGAAGTGACCATTGAAATGATCGTTATGCATCTGCTAATGGTCGTAGGTTCTAGATTATGGACTCAAGATCGGCCTATTCAAGTGATTTGTGAGAACCAGTGCTCTCGATAGAAACCGACCGAAAATTTCTCGTTTTTCTAGTTTGACGTTCTCAGCGTGTTTGCTAATATTTGGGCGGCGTTGATCGTCCTCCGGATCCACGGTTTGGTTTTGCCAGTTAGGTATGTGGCTAGACTCGGGTTCATATTGTGTTTTCGCCTGTGCGTATGCTGATACTTTGCTTGCCAGGTCCTCAAATTAGGCAAACATTTAGCCAGAAGCAAAAATGGTTCGCCTTTTTGAATCGAAAATTTGTTTACCGAAAAATTCCCTTAGGCTACTGTGGTTGAGCGAATTCTTGGCTACAGTGGTGCAAGCTGGTGTACATTTTACCGTCTCTTTACCCATCTACGCTATGCAGTTTTGGTAGGTTGTGCCAAAAAGCCCGATTGCGAGGTATGCCCGCCTCATTTCGCCGTCGTTTATGAGCTGTATTTTCGTGATTAGGAAAATTCGAGACCCGGGAGTCTCTGAGCTTCTAACAATGCAAGATTTTGATCTTCGTGACTCTTGGGGCTTTTTAACGCCCTAGAAAGCCAGCAATCTACTCCATTTTAAGCCCCGCATGTATTGAATGGGTGGATAGCAGCCAGGAATTCCTTTGGACCTATTCCTATATCGTGAAATTTAACTACTACGTTGCCTATTTGGGATATGTGGTTCATTTTCAGCACGATTGGATGATTTTTTGGTAGGCACCTTTTTAAGATCGGAATGCGCTTTGGTGGCGTTTTATTTTGAGCGTTTTAGCCGATTCATCGCCCTCTCGTTTGACGGCATCTACTTCAGCTATACCCTCAAGTGGCCATGGGCTCAATTTCTAATACCGTTTATTGTTGTATACGGGATGAAACTGGGATCGCCTTACGTCGATGCATCGATTCCAACATTCTTTGAGATGATCTTTATGCGGTTCGTGGTGCTGAACCTTGTGGCTGCCTTGGAGATTCTGGTCGTTTACAAATTCAACAAGGTTTGTGGCTTTTAAGGGGCATCATTATTTATGTCGAACTTTCCATTTGTTTTATCATATTGCTGCTGTATTTTTATTTTCTGTCGCATGCATTGGCTCTTCCCGCTTTTGCTTGACTTACTCCTACGTTTTTTGCATAGCTATTCCGGGCGCAGTTTTGCCAAACTGAGACCTGATATACACGGACTTACAAGTTATATAGCCCCTAATTTCCATGTTCGATCAGTGGCTTTTTAGCGCAAGAGCACGACCAACAGCAAGAGTGAAAAGGTGCTGATTTTTACGGTAAGCGAATCGTAAAGAAGTCGTTGTAAGAGCCCGGCCCTTCAGCTCACCCTATCGACGTTTGCCCATCTATTTATCAATGAGATGATGCTGATATATATGATTTGCACTCGGTATTTGCTTGGCAGCACTTTGATGAACATCTCCATGCATGTGCTACGCGACATGTTAGAGCCACTGAAACAATTTGGGGCCCCGTAAGCTATTCATAAGCGTAAGACGTATTTTTCACAGCCTGGTCATCATCATCTTTATGCGGGCAAAACAAGAAGAAAAGTCGACGTTGAGTTCAACCATGGAGGGTAGCAAAAAGTCGAGGCTTACCGTGGTCACCGTCGCGCAGGCTGACTCTTCAAGAAACGGTCCAACTACCGTAAATTAATGCACTTTAAAAAGAAACTTTTTCGATGTTGGATATAGAAATGTTTCGATCTTAACAAACACTACACATGCAACCAATATTTCTGCTTGAGATTTTTTTGAGCTTATTATGAACGGTTCCCGCGTAAATAAATTTTGTGATTCTTTGCGCCAATATTCACAATTCCCGCCGATCGTTCAACGGAAACCCGAAGGCTGCATAAATTTTGGGAATGAGAGGGGGGAACGTACCTCATCAAGGCTCATCAGCCGCGCATGAAAACCTTACTTTCCTAGGTTTCAAGTAGAACATCACAAACGTTTTATCACGATTTTGTAATGAGATTAGTGCTGTTGGCAAATTTTATTGGTAACGGTCAGCAGACACCAAGCGAAGTTCGCAAATAAACAAATCGCGTCGAAGTTGGCAGTCAAAATCGTTCCAGGTGCCCGTGTAGTTTGTTTTTGGGTGGTGTGGCGGGTGGTAGCGGTACATCTGAAGCTGAGCGTTGGGAAACAAGGTATTGTTACCCTTGATTCGATGCAGAATTCGCGGCCCAATACGTTATTTGGCTCGGTTTCGTAAAAATGGCTGAAGGGTTCTGTCTCGCCCCTGACACCAATTAGCTTCCTTGGATGGCTCTATAACGTAAAAAAATTAACGTTACCCGCCGATTTTGAAGATTGCTTGAGAATTTACGCTTTGAAACACTCACATTGTCGAACCTAGGTCCAAGAATGAGGTCTTGATACATGTTATGCAGTTTACCGTCGCCTATTTGTAGATCTGAAAAAGAATCTGCGTCGGGCCCGAAGCCTTGTACTGACTGAGAACATAATAGTCCTCTTCTATGCTATCAATTGTGAGCAGTTCCGCATTCATCGCCTTGCATCGCTTCTCGGCTTCTACGTAGTTCGCAGGTTCGTGCACCGGCTAAATCTACCGATTACTGGGCGTCTACGGTAAACATGGGATTCCAAGGCTCACCAAATAACACTTTCCGTAGGGCCCAGCCAGAATCCAATTCACTGGGCATTTTCTCATATGGTCAAACTGCGCCTTGGTGATGGGAGACCTAGAATAAACGTTTGTTTTTCCCCTTAGAGTATCGTTATCAAGCCCCACAGCTCCAACCAATATAGTGGCTTATTGCCATAATGCCGAATTTTTATACCGCAGAATTTTACAATTCCTAACTTCATCATAACAAATTTTCCTGCTAATGAAATTTTGGGAAAATTTCACTTTACGGTATGGTCCCAAAATGTCGATTTTTCGACTGGAATCGATCCAGCTCGATGAGTTTGTGCGTTTCCAGTTGAAAAAACGGTTGGGAAACGCTTCTGGACAAAGTTATAAGCTTTTGAAAATCGCTAGTTCACTTTACGGTATGTGAACAAAACCTAAATTTTTGAACAGGAAACGATAAAGCTCGATGAGATAAAGCGTTTTCAGTTGAAAAAACAATTGGGAAATTTAAAACAAGAAAGTTATGACGTTTCAAAGATATTTTTGCTAAGGACTGTAGGCTACGCAACACTCCTATCCCCGCATTCTGGCGCGTGCGCTCTCAGCCAGCGCTTACGTACTTATCTAAAAGCATTTAAAATTTTTAAAACTAGTATTTTAAGCATAAAATAGATAAATAACAGTTAGTTGTGGCCTCCAACACTGTCAGGCAAAGGCGGGCCGTCGCTTCGGATGGGCTGCCGCTCCCACTCTTCCGAAATCGGGGCGCCTGGGCGCTGCGCGCTCCTCGGGCGCCCCAATTTCGAAACCCTGTACGAGCTCGCACCCATCCGAAGCGACTAGGCCCCGGGTGGCACGAAGCCTTATTTTTAGGCTTAAATTGGGTATTCAGCTAGCAATCCCCTTTAAAAAGTCCAATATTTTGGTCAATTTTCAAAAGCTAATAACTTTTTCCAGAAGCGTTTCCCAATCGTTTTTTCAACTGGAAACGCACAAACTCATTGAGCTGGATCGATTCCAGTCGAAAAATCGACATTTTGGGACCATACCGTAAAGTGAAATTTAGCCGAAATTTTGTAGCGTTTTCCATAAACCCTAGCAGATTTAGTTTAAACCCGGCCTGATTAAAATAGTTTTTTTAAATGTGCCATACCGTCCAAATTAACGTGTTGTCAAATCGTGCAATCATTTTGCCATTCTGACCCTTCTCAAAATTCCTTCTACCCCGTCCTTTTTTTCCTCCCGCGAACATGCTGCCAAATTTCGCCAACAATACCATGAAAAGGGCCCCCGACATCGCGTCGTTCGGAAAATTAGGTTCTTGTTTATTAAAATCAAAATTTTTAAAACCTAAAAAGAAATGTGAAATTTGCTCATATGACATTCGATAATTTTGCATGAGGGTAATTCGGCATCACGAGATTTGGTGGTGGGAACGCTAAAAAAACCTTACGTGCATAAATCGTCGCGTTCCCGATTGAGTAGACAGATACACGTCGTCAAACCAACACAGTAAATAGTCAAAACAGGAACCAGTGTCCTTAGAAAGCGTTGCAAAGCCGCTTGTTTAGCATGCAGTTTTCTACAGGCTGTCGGTAGACGGTTTTGTCGCACAATATCTGGTTGCATCCCGCTGATGCCGGGTAGCCAGAGATTTTGGGAGGGGGGAGGGGCATCCAATGATATGGGTTTCATCCAACTTGAGAGAAACATGCAAGAAAATAGTTACACCCTATCGATGGTGATAAGCGAACATGCAGGGCGGGGGCAAAAGGTTTGCGGGACAAATGTTACCGGCCATAAAATCCGGCTTTAAATCCCTCAATTCGCCTACTATCGTGGACTTTTCCGTTGTAAAAATCGCTTAAATTATCTTAATTTTGGATGATTTTTGTCAGGAAAAATTTTCTAAGGTGGAGGAGCGCCGCAGCATCATTTTCACTTAATATCTAGGGGAGCAATTCCGACAAAACCCTATGAAACACGGATAATAAAAGCTTATTTTCGTTGTATGTCAAAAAACATCGTAGCTTTAGGGCGATTAGTCAGGACTATGGTTATTTAGGGTCTGCGCCACCTAACACGTAACACGGGAAAACGCCAGAGGTGTGCTGCTTTTGGGACGCCCTGTAAAGCGTATTGGGACATACTTCCATTCCAAATGGTTTCTCTGTCAAATTTCCCTAAGCTCAAATCTGGCTGCATATCTTTAACCCGACATGCGTTTGTTATTTTTCTGCACACTGGAAAAACTAGAAGCTCTTTAATCGGCAGCTCAAAAATGGCATAAATAATCAGAAGATACTGATCTCACAAACGAATGCATCGCGCCGAATTTGGCAGTCGAAATCGTTCCAGGTACCAGTGTAATTGGTTTTTGGGTGGTGTGGCGGTTGGTAGCGGTACATCTCAAACAGCGATTTTCCAAAAAAAAGATGAAACGAAGATTCTTACCCTAGCTTCGACGCAGAACTCCTTCCCGAATTCGTTGTTCGGTTCAATTTTGTGAAAATGGGAGAATAGGGCTGTCTCTCCGTTAAGGCCAATCAGCTTCCTTGGGTTGCCCTACAATCGAAGGTGTTTTCGAGTCTGCTACTACAGGGATTGCATTGGTGTGGATTAATCATAAGAAAAGTAGCATTTTGTTAAAAGCTCTTAGAATTTAACGTTTGCTAACAAAAATACATGGTATTTTTTAATCCTTTAATTGTTTTCCTCTGGAAAAACCCACATTATCCAGTTTCGGAGCTAGGATCACGTCATGGCATTTCGTATATAGTTTCTCATCGCCGACCGGGAGATCTGAGGCTTTTGATACAAAAAATCGCACAGAGACGCTGACTCAGAACAAAATAATCTTCCTCCATGCTATTAATTGTCAGCAGCTCGGCATTCATCGCTTTGCACCGCTGCCGTGCTGTTTCGTGCGTGGCACGGCTGAGGACGGGCTAAGAATTGAGTCTCTCGATTAAAATCAGAGCATTGCCTTACCAAATAACATTTCGAGAACTGCTCCCCGTATATCCATCTCTCTGGACATTTGCAAACGGACGGAGTTGCAACATTTGTCTGATTTCTAAAAGAACTATAAAGGTTGTCCCAATAAAAAAACCGAAAACACTCGACGCAGAAGTATCGGATCGGAATGACACCATCACCATTCAAAACCCCTTGAAAAGGCGAGTTTGCAACAACTTTCAAAATCCTGTTTTTATTTCGACGCGCGATTTTACAAGGCATTTAAAAACATTAAGGAACGGCCCCTGATGGTAATTAACGGCTACTTCCGGTCATTTCGCTCGGAGAAATTGAAGCAAATTAGCTCGTATACGACCCCCGAAAAGCCGTAGAATTTTAAAAATGGCTTCTAAAGTAGCGCATTTAAATAAAACGATGGTTTTCAAGATTGAAGCAAACTCGCCGTTTCAGGGGGTTTCGTATGGTGTAAATATCATTCCGATCCCCTATTTCTGCGTCGAGCTAGAGGGGGTGTTTTTTTGTATTGGGACACCCTGTATCCTATTTCTGTATACATGCGGTACCTGACAAAATACTCGTCACGTTGTGAAGAAAACTTTGAATAAAACAGAATGGATATTGTTATCCCCAATGAATAAAGCCCAAGCAGGAATATGGCCCCGAGATAGCACCAGTACCCGGTGCGTGGATCCCTCGGCTTTTCGGGATATTCCTGGACAACTTGACTATAGGCTGGGGGCTTCATTATGTGTATTTGTGTGCAGAGGGAGCAAAAGGCGATTTGAACACCGCTTCGTCATTAGTCTTATATCCCAGATTTGCATGACGATTTCGGGGAATTTGTAAGAAAATTGCTGGGACGACACTTGCTTTGTCCAGTTCGCGGAAAAAAACCCGCTCTACAAAGGAGGATCGCGGGAAACAACTTGACGTTGACCTCGAACCCCGGCCCATGCAAGGAAATTGCCCTATTTTACTTGCTGAACCTGCGGGTGATGCTGATAGAATAGCTAGTGTTCCTGGGATGTGGGGATGTGGATAATGTGATTTGATGGCAATGACTCAGTTTTGTAATTGAAAAAGGCAAGGAAGGTTGTATAGCTAGTTCTTGATGCGTTTTTATTAATAATTCGGAGCTGTCGCTTGAGACGAAACTGCTGGAACCCGACCTTGTCCTCGGATTTGTATGAGGCTATGTCCGCGAGTAGAAGTCTAAAAAATCAGATGTTGTTGAAAAGTGTATCTCATTTTAAGGGTCCTCTTTGTGTAGTGCTAAAGCAGGGTCATAAGAATTCCGATTTCTAATACCAAGTGTTTTTGGCTTTTGTTAAATTTTCTTTTGTTAATTGGTGCAAAGTCCAAAAATAGCCACTAACTAGCCAAAGATCAAGCAAAAATTCTTGCCATAGCCCAAAAATTACTGTAGCTGCAGGGCTGAAAGTTTTCGTGAGAATTTTAGATACCTTTGCGCACCTCGCTTCAAAATTTTTATTCGCTTTCGGCCCGATATGGCGAAATTCCAACGTGACCTTTTGATTCGGATTCCCTGCAAATCAAAACCATAACTTGGGTGCAAAGTACGGCCCAAGCGTACTTTCCTAGGTCCGGCAAAAGTTATGGTATCAGGTAATCGTCAAATGAACCCGTTTTTTTTTGGTTTGCTTGCAAAGATCTATCCCGCACCTCTTTAAAAAGCTCTTGACCAGAAGCAGGAATCCAAAATGTTGGGCAAAACTGTGCCACGATCGCGTAACTAGAAAAGCCCATCATTCGTCGGCCGATTCCAAAAGCTCATGCGCACCTTTCACCCAATTATAGCCCACGCCCACGCCTCGGAATTTTGCACGCACCCTCCGAAATGATGCAGCGCGGGGGCAGCGCGCCAGGAAATCCCGTGTATTTATAATAGGACTCAACTAGGGCCTTTTGCACAGAGTAGACTCACATTTGGGGCACGAAAACATGCCACGGCTTCTGCTTTTGGTCCTGACTGTCACGAATTTATGCTGTAGCCAATATTTATCCGCTGAGCAGCTACAGAAACTGTTCGTCGACAAGCTGGACTTGGCCGGGGCGGTGAAGGTAAGGTTCATAAGGTTTTATAAGGCTTAGAATGTGGATTTTTAGCTTGCCGACAAGGTTGACAAATGGCTGGATTGTCCGAAAAAAGTGAGGGTCATCACGAAATTTTCCGAGCAATTCGGGGTAAGTATGAATTAGAGTTCATGACGGTTTAAAATTTAGGACACTGCGCTAACTACAAACGTCACTACTTTTATGCAGAACCTTTGTACAGCCCAGGATTTTTTCAAGACCCATCTGAAGGCAGCGAAGGAGAGTTCTTCTTTCAAAAAGTCGGAACTGAAACATGTAAGTTTTTCCAGAGCTGAAGGAGCATCAAGCTCCAAAAATCCACAATTCCATACACTAAGTGCACGACGATAACGCGAGACGCGGAAACCCCCCGTTAAAAGTCGCTTCTAAATGTATACCTCAAAATGCTATCGACTTTCAGCTAATGCACACTTACAATCTGGTGCTGCTCTCCAGTAAAAACGATCCGGCTCGTGCTCTCAACGACATGCTCACCGAGATCAGGGATTTGATTTATATCGTAAGAGCCACTAAAAACTCTGAAATCCGTAATTTTAGCCCCAAACCGGTTTCTGGCAAGCGTATCGTTGGACGATCGATCCGAAGACCGACGGTTGCGTCGCGCAGACGAAGGCAAAGGTAGTTTTTCTAAATTCTTCTCATGACCTTGATTATATCAGTACAACGTGACGTCGACTGGAAGTGACGGCTACTATTCATCTAGTTGCGTGTTTAACGCAATGCAATCGGTATGTAAAAACTGTAAAAACAGAGCGTAAGGTAATTCAAGTGAAGTTTCATACCATTACTGCGTCCCAATCCTGTGGCCTTTCATAAAACTTTCAAAATTACAGGCAATCTATGAAACCCTGCCCAGCGATAAATGGGCCGAGCTGGACACAATCTTCACCTCGATGAAGCAACGATCATTCGAGTACGTCCTCTACGGAGTCCGCAGTCTGCTTGACTGGCGCACCGGAGCAGGACCAGTAGATGAAGATCCCATGTATGGATGAGCAATAAAGAATTATTGTTTTCTATGTCGATGATTCTACAACAAATGCATAAAAAAGCTTTATCTCGTGGACCAAACTAAAAATAACTAAAAAGAACTATAAACTAGACAAAGTTCTGATCCGGTGCTGAAGTTTGGTGAAATCTGGCTAGCTTCTGAAAAATCGTGCCGAGACTGACCGAAGTTAAACCGCGACGCATTATAGCGCATACCATTTCTCACGCTGAATTCTGGCAGGGTGCCGTAACTACAATATGATCAATTTGTAGCTTGTCATTTGTAGCCTGCCGTACAGTGACCCAATTTTCAAGATTCTGATCGTCTGTAGCCCGGCTAAAAAAAAACGGAATTTTCAGAAAATCAGAGCCCGTGGGGGTCGAAAAATCGGGATTTTCAGGTCGTTAGGTCCTTTGGTGGTTTGTATCAGGTTGGAAGGTAAGTCCTGTCGCCGAGATTTTGGGAGGCTGGCTAAAATCATAGATAGTTCCATTCTAGACATGTGATATGTCATTTTGTAGCTCTCGGCATGAACCGTTTCGGGTGGTGGGTCCTAGGCCGCCAACTTCAAGGAGGGCCGAGATACAGGTCCAAAAAGTTTTTCACAAAATCACCAAAAAGTGTTTTTGCAAGTTATCTCTGCATAGAGTCATTTGCACGCGATACCTTTAACACCAGTCGATAGATCTCGAGGGGTAGATATCGATAGATGTTGAGATCATCAAAATTGGACAATGAATGGTCGAGATATGGGCCTCTGAAAATTAGCCCATTTCTTAGAACTTTTCCCGAAATCCCATACATTGCGATACATTTCGTAGGCAGAGGCCGAAAATTGCCGCTTTATTTTTGGACCCGCCGGGTAAATTTTGACAAAATGTATGGGAAATCGGGAAAAGTTCTAAGGAATGGGTCAAATTTCAAATGGTCAGATCTCGTTGATCCAGTGTCCAATTTTGATGATCTCAGCATCTATCGATATCTACTCCTCGAGGGCTATCGATTGGTGTTAAAGGTATCGCATGCAAATGACTCTATGCAGAGATAACTTGCAAAAACACTTTTTGGTGATTTTGTGAAAAACTTTTTGGACCTGTATCTCGGCCCTCCTTGAAGTTGGCGGCCTAGGACCCACCACCCGAAACGGTTCATGCCGAGAGCTACAAAATGACATATCGCATGTCCAAAATGGAACTATCTATGATTTTAGCCAGCCTCCCAAAATCTCGGCGACAGGACTTATCCCGAACCTGATACCTGGAACAACCTGATAGTATGTATCCCGGGGTGCAGGAAGCTCCTCTTTTCCAATTTTTCTAGTTTGGGGTTTATAGTTTATCCCAAAAACCCGCGCTTCAGGGAAATTCCGCCTGGACCAGATTTTTTTCTTTAAAAGCAAGAGCAATCTCAGAAAATATTAGAAATTATAGAAATCGGAAGATCAAAAACCCCCAAAAAATAGAATCTATCCACATCACCCAAGTGCGTACTTGGCACCCAATTATTCCAGCACACCCACGCGCCGCACCCACACCCTCTTTGTCGGCTACCGTTATTTGTACAGTACATCGCTCGTGCGCGCCAATTATATTCGAGTCGAGAGTTCGATAAAAGCGATGCGGGGTGCGAGGTTTTGCACAAAATGAGGAGCACGACGGTGTTGCTGCTCGTGTTGCCATGCCTGGCCTATGCACAGAAATTGTCCGCATTCCGTGTGTCAATGCTATTCGGAGATCGGGTAGATTGGGATGAGGCTTCGAGGGTACGTTCGGCTTGCCGTTTTAACTGATACCTTACCTATAAATAATGTCCTATAAATAATTTCCTATAATTACCTATAAATAATTTCCAACTATTTTTAAATCCTCAGAAAAAAATTTAAGGTCGCCGAGAGCGCTAATATGGCCAAGACATGGGGGGTCAAAGGGACTGGGTAAATTAACGAAATACGCCGAGAAGTTCATTGTAAGTTCCAAAACAACGGATTTGAAGCATCGATTGTTTTAGGACGCAATTTTTTACGTCAAATGTGACGTCTTTTATGAACGACCTATGCCTAACCCACGCGCACTCCCAACGGATTATGAAGGCCATGCATGGGAATACGTTGCTGACGCGAACCGAGCGTAGAATGGTACGGTTTGTCGTTTATAGCATCCTTTCGAACGATACGACTGTTTTAAAAGGTCCGCTCGATAAGCCGCCGCTAACGTGACGAGCTTCTTCAGATCGGACGCAGCTAACTCGCAACTCGCAGTGAAATTTGCATAACGGCTCGCTCCGGGTTGTCGGCAATGATTATGGCCTGGCATCTTGGTAATTTCGGATTTGGCGGGGTGGAAACTGAGCAATTTTGAGCTTCAGCTAAAGCCTGCGTCTAAGCCTGACGCCCGAAAGTCAAGTCCGAAACCAAAACCTTTTCAGATCAAGGCCGAGGACCCGGAAGTTTCTTGCCGCATGTGAAGGGTTGGACCTGGACAATATTCCAAGATATGTGGGTCATTACAATCTGGATTTTTGATACATGACGAAGTTGAATTCATTCGTTTCCTGTTCTAGCAAACTTACCTGGCCATGAAACAGAAAGCCTATGACGGTCCGCCAGTCGATTCAAGTACATATCCGAGGGATCTGTTCCTCCTCTGCATCGACCACAAGGTCAAGCTGGTCAGTAGTTTTATCAGTTAGACAACGAATTTGGTTTCAAGGCAGCGGCTTCTGGATTGTCAGCCACCCAACAAGATGCTATCAAAACTGCTTTCTATAACTTGGACACCCCCGAGACGGAGACGCTGCGCTTCCAGGGGCCCACCTTCTATTTTGCGAACGCTTCCGTGATGGGTGTTTGAGAAGCGAAGTTAAATAAATTTTTGTAAAACTACAAACTGCAAGCGTGGGAGTTGAAAAGCACTTTGGTCGGATCGTGTCGCCCGTTTTGAGCCCCAACAGCTTCTCTCTAATGGGTCGGAGAAGTGGCCGATTTGGCGATTTAGGTATCTATACGAAGCTCTCGAAAATCCCAGAAAAATAGGGTCTTTGTTTTTATTTGTATTGTAATTGTGGCCTTGTATGACCAAAAACCCGTGAAAAACGCCTGTTTATGTGACATCCCCTTCTTGTACACCCAGTAAGATCATTTCCTAGTACTCCTGCAGCCCCGCAATCATCATAAATTTTGATTTCTTAGCCCAAACAGCTCCTGGTCCATAACACGGGCGTGTGGGTGGTCAACTACCGTCTAATTGCTACCCAACTTCCTCAAAAACCACATATTGAAATGGCCAATTTTGGGGGCAACTAACTCCCGGTTCGACCCCTCAGCTGACCCTTCAAAAATTGGCCCCCACTACTGTCCGCGACATTTTCCATTAGCCCGCCAATTATCGCTCCATTTACCCCACCGGATAGATCCGCATCGAAGTTTGGAAGGTTGCAACGCACATCACTATTTGATTTTGTTTTTAATGTAAGTAATATTGACAAATGGCCGCCACTCATGGTTTCAAAATTAATAATGACGAAGTTTCATGATCCTCAAATTTGCTGCATAGCGCTGGGGGTTTTCCAGACATTTGCATAAGCAAGCAAAATTTCAGCACTGTCAAAAATTTGGGCAATATGACATTTCGAGATTATAATAAAATGCGATGATTATGATATAAATATGTAATAATATAAATATAAAATAATATAAATATGCTTATAATTTTATAGAAATCCGATGGAACCATATTGGTGGAATTACAATCCGCAATTCTTCGCCACCGATTACTTTGAGCCGGTGACACCAGATGTGGCGGTGGCGCCTGTTCTTCTTGGGGTACGGTAGTTGAACTATCTTTTAGAATGTCCCAGCTAAAGCAGATAAATGTTACGTTTAGGTTGCCGCCGTTAGTTTGCCAATACTTTCGGGAACTGTGGTCGGTGTTATTCGGCATAAAAGAATGTCGAATACGATAAAGGTGGGCAAATCTAATATTAATATATTTTAACGATTTTTAGGGCTATGTCCTTGGGGATTTGTTATGTAGATTTCAATTCTCTGTTTGTCTACTATTTTTTGGGAGTTGCCAATTATCAGAAGAGTAGGATTTTAACAACTTCAATTGCTAAATGATTTTGAAGTTGGTTTTGCGTGCAGGCTGATGGCGGCATTTTCAATCTACGTTTTAACGGGCTTCTGAGCGCCTTTTCACTAGCGCTACAACGGGCTACGATGTATTTTCAATTGGCGCTTGGTTTAAACAGGTATTTAAAAATAAATTCATTAAAAAATATCCAATCATTTAGATTCTTTGCTACTTTCTATGAAGGGATCTACTACAAAAAAGCGGCCATGTACCCGTATGCACAACTTGCGGGGATTATGCTATTTCCACTAGTCCTTTTCTACATTCAATTAACAACAAGTAAAGAGCTATTTCACTACCCTAATTTGCATATTTTAGTATACATCCAGAGCGACGGGTCTCTGATTTTCGGAGGCCCTCTTTTCGATCCAAGGGTGGCCGGGTATAACTCGTTTGATGTTTTGCACTACGATTGGAGAGGGCATTTAAAAGTATACAACTACTAAAAGATCTTTATTTCATTTTTTTAGTCCAGTCTCGATTATTTCGCTTTTTCTCTTGACCTAATAATGTTGTCGATGGATTTCGGGATATTCTTTCGGGTCAGGCAACGAAAGTTGGCGCAAAGTCACGCTGAGTGGCGTTTATTTTACCAGGTAATTATACAGGGTGCCCCAAACAAACCCCCTCTAGCGGTCCGTGGTAAGCTCAGATCAGGATGATTTTTATACCATTCGAACGCCCGCGAAAGGCGAGAAAACAAGCGGGCTTCATTTTCTAAGATTTATTCTGATTCGTCCGATATTCAGCGTTTTTCTAAAAAACAGGTATCTTTTCAATAGGAATTTCGCAATTAGCATGCGGATCTCGCGTAAATCTGTCGTTTTCATGGATTTTGAAGATAAAATTCGCCAATAAAAATACATAATAAAGAAAATGAACCCTCCATGTTTTCTCGCCTTTTCGAGAGCTTTCGATAGATACCTAAACGGCGAGAATCGGACACGTCTGGGCGCCGCTAGAGGGGGGGTTTTTTGGGACACCCTGTAGTGATTAAAACGAGCGAAAGTGAAATAATATTTATTTTATTCAGATTGTCACCAATCACATGGTGTATTTTCTCTCCGCTCTGACGGCTTGGTGGCTTGGCAGACAAGGATCTGTATTTTACCAATTCACAGTGAATACGATGGTCATTCCAGTTTTTAATGCAATATACGCGTGAGTTATCGTATCGGCGTCCACTATCCGGTTTAGAATCGTCGTCGCCTATTTCCTGATTCCGCCAAAAGTTCCGGAACGGACGACTACTGTCACGGAAATGTCGGCGCTTTCAACACGAAAAACAGTTAGTGCGATGGCTAGCTTGGCCTAAGCATAGACCTAAGCCTAAGCCTAAACTCAACCTCATCATCCTTATGGCCGTGATAAAACATTTTGTCTAAAATTGACGCTCATTGAAAAGACATTATCATAAAAGACAAAGCTTATTGGATCGTTGCTGTAGCCCGATCGCTACAATATTTCTGGAGTTACAACGTAAATCCTGTTTTGTGACGATTTTTTGGATTTTTTGGTCCTTTCACCACGAAGTAGTTCGACTTCCGGCTGCGACTCCTCCATTCCACTCACGAATCGGTGCTCTTAGTTGTAAAACTCGTTAAATCAGCGTTTATTTAGGTTGATTTGTGCCCGGAAAAATTCCTGTGTTAAGGTATCGTCACCACTTTTTTTACACTTAATATTTAAACCTTCGATTTTCTCTAAACCCCCTATAAAACTGAAATCGCAAATGTTCTGTAGCTATAGTTTAAAAATATCGCAGCTGCATACGTTTTTCGCGCTTGGCTCCGATACTGTACGTGCAAAACCACTGGGGGCTACCCCCAATTACAAAAATTACTACAGGGTGGGTAAAAAAAAAAAAAGCCAACTTTGCGCCATATTATCTCGCGAACGGTAGAGAATCGAAGGTACGTTACCATGCCAGAATGCTTAAATATGCTGGGTATGAAGATTTAACACAACTTGATTTTTCGAGTTTAGATACAATCCCGCAAAAATATCAAAAAATTTTTTCAGATCCGCGGATTTTTGAGTTTTTCGACGACCCCCTGGTCATGGATTTTTTCGAGGTCCCGAAACTGAACTTTGGAAAAATATTTCTAGAATTGCAGATAGAATTTCGGTGTTTGCTTTGCTTCGATGTGTAGGACTGGGGTCCATCTATCATGTACGCAATTTCTAGCTACCTTTGGAAGGTTGCCTTTTAGCGCCTCCAAAACGGTTGATTCGTGCTATTTCGCAGACCTTCGTGCCAGTCTATAAAATTCATTTGCGCGGCTAAAATTATTGTCATAATTTTATTTAATACTACTTAATGGGCGCATTCTATGATTATATTTACAAATTTATTCGGCCATCCAATCTCTTAAAAGAAATTCACGAAGAGCCCAAATATACCCGAATTCGAGGCGAGGTAAAAAAATTCTCGAAGCTCTAGTAGCCCCGACTTTTCTGGCATACACCAAGCTTGGGTAGTCAACTAAAACGCATGCAAATACAAAACCTTTTTATGGCAAACGAATTTAGAAGAGCACCCCAAAGTCGACTTTTCAAAAACGTTATTTTCGGGTTTTAAATCAAAATGAACCATTAACTTCAGCCAGATCATTCCAGAATTCTGCTCTTATACACAATTCGATGCGTGTTTCAAATATATCCACGAAAATCCGGTGACTTTTTCATTTTCAAAAATTCGATTTTCGGCCCGGGGCCTTGGGGCCAAAATCGGGCCCCAGGGTGGGTTTTCCTCTTTCCCTCATAACTTTGTCATTTGCCATAGGAATCAAGTAATTTTTTGTAGGTTCTCTTACAATCACCCAGAGAACACTATAGAATAGAAAAATTGGCATTTTATGGCATTTTGTCTTGGCATGCTAAAACGCGCTCCAGGCGGGTTACGGTAGAAACAGAAAATCGCCATTTTCTCGTTCTTTTCACCATAGAAACGTTTCGATCTTTCAGGAAAACAAATAATAGTAGTTTTTGGTCTGATGCATCAAAATATTTACAAATTTCCGTGGCTAAATTCAAAAATAAGTTTTTTGCATATTTTGGGAAGGTATATGGCTAGAACTCAACGATCTTTGGCCAATAGGTGAGCCTTACTGGTGTTTACCAATGATAAAATTTTAAGCGAAATCGCAGCTTACAATAAAAAGAAAAACGCGAAAAACGAAAACTACAGTATCCCTCTGGGGCACGTTTTAGCAAGCAATATTAAAATGCCATAGAATCAGGTAAAATTTGGTGTTGTGCTAGATTATCATCCGAAGACACCATCTGCAAAAGATCAGCCATGGGCAGCGTATTTGAAGCGAGTTGCGAATTAAAATGTCAAAAGACACAAAATAGTGAAATTTGTTTTGCTTGTAAAAAAAAGAACTGGAGCTTAAAAAATTCTAATATTTGGCCATTATTTTTCTACAAATGTCAACGATTTTTGGGCCAAAAATCAGAATTTTCCCACCACCCGTTCAAGAACGCACAATTTTCGGCCGTAACCAGCGTCAATAGTACAGTTGCGTACTCAAAAATCGAAAAAATCAAGTTGTGTTAAATCTTCATACCCAGCATATTTAAGCATTCTGGCATGGTAACGTACCTTCGATTCTCTACCGTTCGCGAGATAATATGGCGCAAAGTTGGCTTTTTTTTTTGACCCACCCTGTACACCCCCTAGCCAAACCGGGCAAAAAAACCACATAATTATGGGCATGACTCTGATTTGTCCCTGCAATTTATTGACCTTAAACGTTTCCCTCCTAGGTACAACCTACCCAGGCTGTATCACAATTTATTCTAAGCTCGGGACAACTTACAAATTCGAAAGACGTCACCCCACCATGGAGGAAGCTGCCGAGATTCTGAAAAAGTTTCACCGTAATACCCCCTGGGGAGGATCCATGCATACACAATGGGACGTGGCTCGCCTATTACTACTACTACTTCAACTATACCTATTGGTACGACTGTTCGTATTATTATAATTGGGAGGGGATGCCGACGGTTAATGTGCACACGATAAGGAGCGGGTTGCAGACCACGCCTTATGGAGTGATTTTTGTCGTCGTAAGTTTTCTAGCCATGTCGAGGGTTTTTTTTAAATTTACTTTAATGTCTGCTAAGCGCGAATATCATTTTTTGTAAAGTTTGAATTCATGATTTTCTAAACCTATCCAATTTGTGAAAGTTTACCATGGTCTGATTACGATAGGAAATACGCATTTTAGGCCGGAATCATTGGAATTATCACATGCCTCCTCGCTACAGTTTGCGTGGCGCGAACCGGCTATACAAAGCCTGTCTCAAAATTCTACCTCTACGCTATGCTGTTAATGAGTTTATATATGAATTTTCAATTTCTATACCGTGCCCATTGTCTATTTGGATTTGACCCAAATAAGGCGGCGTTTACGCACACTTATTGGAGGTACGCTAGGTTACTTTTCGTAAAATTTGGCCATGCGATACCCTTTAAAACCTTTCAAATGTATTTTTAGTTTTCCTTGCCTAAACACTGACGGCTGGCCCTACGCTCCCTTTATGTTAAACATGATATTCACTTCATATTGGTGTGCATCGACTTTTAGTTATTACCTGTTAGTGTGGTTCCAGGTGTTGAATAGGTAAAAATTAACAGAACGCAATTGAAAACAATTCATTTAGGTTCTTCTATCGTTTCAATAAAAACTGGTATAAAGCCACCTGTTTCCTGCCTTTTATTCACATTATCGGCATTCTTATAGTCCCGGTGTTGCCTATATTATCGTTGATTGATAAAAGTCAGCTCGAGATCCGATGCTTTAAAAAATTAAATCTTGTTTGTAGAGCTAATCAAAGGTCCGGGTTCCTGGTCGGGGATAGAACCCCGCGATAATTACTTGGGACTTTATTATAACCCGGTGACCAACTTCTTCTATGGCTATTACATGAAAGAGAGCTACTTGTACGATTTGGGACCGGGTAGAGCCGAATTTTTATAAAAATATATTTATCTATATAGTTCTTTGGATCCTGGTTGCACCGAATGTTGGTGTATTCATTATGGAATTATCACTGCTGCATAATTGCAAAAAATTGGTAGGGGGACCAAGAGAATTTACAAAAATTTAGCTTCCCACCGCTGCCCGGCCAGAAGATCGACAGATTAGACAGGTATCCGCGTCAAGGCTT